GTCTGTGACAGCCTTTTAGTCGGACACTGACTTCTTGTTCCGTTATCCAATCTTTTCTGTCCTCCATCCACAGGTGATCTATTTTCCAAATACCATTTTTAATCCAAGAAAGCCACTTTTGTTCAAGGAAAAGTGGGTTATTGGCTTCATTTGTTATCCATTCATTACCGAAAAGCGGTTGTCTTAGGACTTCATCCTTGGATTTGGGTTTGTTGATCTTATTAGGGATTATTTTCCTCCACGATCGGAGAAAACTTTTAAAAACTTAAAAAAAGAAAAAACGAAAAAATGATGGTTTTCAAATTTTCATTGAAGAAAACGAGGTAAGCATGGACCGACTCTCAAGACGCCACCATGTTTCAACTTTTAAACCGATTCCCTCCTTACCTCTTGCCCCCACACTGGTTCTTCCTTCTCTCCGAGTCCGCACACATGTAGTAACCCTGTTCAGAAGTAGCCCCGGGCCCAGAACTCAGCCCCAGGCCACGCAGACCAGAAGTGGTCTGCACTGGGCTGTGTGACCAACACCTGCCCAGAACTGAGAAGGCCGCACGCGGCTGTGGGACCAAGTGCTAAGATCAGGAAGTTCAAGAGTCAAAGTCAACTGTCAAGTCAAAGGTACCACGCCAGGCCCTTGGTTGGATACATCCACTTGTTGTGCGCAGGTACCAAGACATGCATCCAGGCCGAAGAGGATACAGTTTCAGATCGATCCATACCCTTCCCGGTGTCAAGATCTGGACGGCTGGAGTTTGCAGCAGCCGGGGTCCAGACCCTGAGTCAACGCTACATAAGCGTGGACTCCCTGGCTTTGACATTCATTCTTTCTGTCTTGCGTTGACGGCACGTCGCAGGCTGGACGCTGGTGGACGCTGGCATTACGCTGGCATTGGCGAGATAGCAGCAACACGCTGCTGGCTGGTGCGCTGACTGGCTGGCTACTGTCTTCAAGGCTTGCTGACGTGGCATTGCCACGTGTTGCTGCTGACGTGGCTGCTGCCACATGTGACATTGCCGGGTCTACAGGACCGGCATTGCTGTTCTATTCCATCATTACTTCAGGGAGATATCAAGGCTGTTTCATCGTCAGTTCAGGAGGAGATCGTGACTGTGAGGAGGTTGTGGATACGTACCTGGGATCTTCATGTCAATGTGATTCCAGCGCTGATGAGAGGTTGATTGGGTGCCACGTAGCACATTGTAACAGGACTTCGATATGTGTTCAGATTACTGGTTATTGTGAGGTGGCGGTCAAGGAAGGAGCCCGGAGAAGGAGTGGGCATTGTATCTTCCTCTCCTTTGTCTTATCTCCCTCCTTCCTCTTCGTCTGTGTATGATTATCTCACCTCTCTCTTTCTGGATACTATTTGATTATTGGAAACTATAAGCGGCTCGATAATCTGGACTTGCACTGCTGACATTCGTATTCATGACTTGGGTTCATTGCACACAAACTTATGCGGTTTGTAATCACTGAGCCCCTCCTTGTCTTCTGAATCTAGTTCTGATTGATTAGTGTGATAAAGATTATTAGTAATAATTTATTACTGTTTTATAATTATTATTTTCTTTTCCCCCCCACTGTTAGTGTAAATTTGTAAAACAACAGTTAGTATTGCACAGATCGATAAACGGACCAATTAGTTGTATCAACTTGTATGGAATAGGAGCAATAGTAATACTAAGTAGAGTGAGTCCAGTTATGCCCTTTGGGACATCTATTAAATTTGAATAATGCAGAGACAATTAGCATGGCCCTGCGCAAGGATAACTAGCATGTATAGATCAAGAAATGGTCCTTTTTTTTTTTCAATCTTTTATTAAAAAAAAAAAAAAAGAGTCTGGTTATCATCTGGTTCGTTCGTCGAATCATATCAGCAGTCTGTAGTTGTGAAGAGATTGGGGTTTAGTCAAGGCAGAACTGGGCACAGGTCTAGATTTTGCAGGACTCCAGGCCTCCAGGGGTCTTAGAGTCCACCGGAAAAGAGCAGGTCACCCTTAGTGAAGGCGGATGCATTGACAATGAAGCATCGCAGGCAGGGTTCTTCTGGGCCCGAGAACAGGCACAACAGCCCCTGTCACTAACCGGTAGGCCCAGCTTGTTGTATTGGTTGTTGGGAACCAAGAAGAGGGCCTTTCATCATCAAGACAGACTTCAACATTGGCGATTCTTGTGCGGATGCAATCATTGCTTTGTCCTTTCTGCGAATCACCTTGTCACGCACCATACGCATCTTGGTCACAAGAGTTCATTCAACTTCATTGTCCTTGTAAATTGACTTTCGCCAGTACGTTCGTTTCCTTGCAGTACTCTCTTCTTCGTTTCCGTTTGCCATAATATCCAAATAAGTATATGATTAAATTTTAAGTAATTTCATTTTCAGCAATTGCCACAGCAATTTTCTTTTGCCGTCACCACATGATGATGTTGTTTTCCACTCTTCCGCACCTGTCCAGGTCGACATTATGACTAACTCGTCCCTCTGTGCGATGTGAATCTTGAACAATTCTCACTCCATCACCTGCCGCCAAGTGCTTGTTGACCTGAATTGCAACCTGCAAAAGCCGTCATCATTTTGATTGACCACACACAAGTCCAAGTGATATCAGTTCTTAGTAACTGCTCGGTAACTTCTTAGTAACTTTTCGGTAACTTCTTAGTAACTTCTTAGTAACTTCTTAGTAACTTCTTAGTAACTTCTTAGTTACTTCTTAGTAACTTCTTAGTACCACTTAGTATTTCTTACTTATGGTGCAGAAGTGAGTAACAGCCAATGTTTCTTGGGATGCTGGGCCGGTTCAGAATCTCAGAGTGAGTAACAAGTACTAACAACCAATATTAATCGGGAGACTGGGCCCGGTTTCCAGCAGGTGCAGCTGCCCACCAATAGAAAGGGGGCTTAAAAAAAAAATAAAAAAATAAAAAAATGATCCAACTGATCAGAAGCTCCAATCCAATCAGAACCGCACGAGTGAAAACCTGTGCGCAATTCTCTGGACGCTGTGGCAAATTGGCAATTTTCATTCCATTATGTTGTTGTTCAGACGTAACTTCAATCGAGACACGACTGGACTTCACCTTGATTCTTCCTTGAACCAGCAACAGTAAATGGACAAGGATTAGGCGACATATACTGCTGCCAGAGAGAAAGGACCAAAACCTTCTGTGAACCAAAAGTCTGTGCGGCAAAAGTAGGTTTCAAAAACCCTCTAAGAGTCTATAAGGTGTTATGCAGATAAATCACAACCCAGAGAATCCCAAAAAAAAAAGAGACACAACATCAACCAACCCTTAGGCCTGTCTCTTATACACATCTAGATGTGTATAAGAGACAGGAGAGAGAGAGAGAGAGAGATTGTCATGGATTGGCAATCACCTTGCACCGAACTGCCAAGTTAACAGCATCTGACGGGCGCATATCCAAACTGATGATTTGCCCATCTCCCCATGACTGCAAAGCACAAATAACAACAAGAATGTTAATTGCGCTGTTCCTCTCTCTTGGCAAGAACGATGGTCAAAGCCATCATTGCAGAAAGTCCAGGGGTCGTAGCTTTTGACAGGAGCAAATTCTAGGGTCAAAAGTCGGCCTGGAGGTGATGGATTGATTCGGTCCATGTTGGATCTGTGGACTGCCTTGTCTGTGCTCCACCTCCCCTGCTCGCCATGTCTTTCCCTCCAGCTTGTCTGTTTGCCATGTAGTTTGGTTGCCTTCTCAGTCTTGCTTTGTGACTCGCTGCGTTGTTGCCTTGCTGCCCATCTGCGTGCCTCGTCTTTCCATTTGTATGCCATGTAGTTTGGCTGCTTCGTCAGCGTTGCCTTGTGCGTTGCTGTCTTGTTGCCTTGCAGCCTGTCTGCTTGCACTGTCATCCGATGCAGTTAGGTTCGGTGCTGTGTAGTTGGGCTGCCGCGTTAGTATCGCCTGGTGCTTTGCTGAGTCATTGCCTTGCTGCCATGTTCTTGTGGTATTGCCTGCTGGCAATCCGCTTTCAACGATGGTTACAACAGTCCACGAATCAAAGCATCAATATGCAGGTTCTGCAGATGGTTGAGCGTCCAGCCTCCTGATGAGTCGGTGCAAGACCGGCAAAACAGTCTGTCACCATCTGTTTTCTTTCTTTTTTTTTGTTGTTTTTGCAGAAAAACAAGCGCGTGCCATCCTTGCCCTGGGGCCATCCTAATCTTCTCTTTGTTTCTTTCGATTTCTGTTTTACCTAGTTTGGTATTTGTACTTCTGCATCTTCCCTCACTCCCTTGTGGTGTTTGTCTGCCCACCTGCCTTCCCCATGCCCTCCCGCCTATGAAACTTGCCGCCGCTTCAATGCCTTGTTGCTTTGCCGCCCTTTACCTCACTGCCTTGAGGGCTCTCCAAGTTTTTTTGGACTATGCTGCCTCTGGTTGGTGCTTTCTTGCTGGTGGCACCTTCTGTGTTAGGTGTGTTGTCTTCTGCCCTTTACCTTTGTTTTTATAGATTGAAAAAACTATATATATTTGTGCAAGTGTGCTGCTTCAGTGGCAGACGGGTGTGTGGGCACTTCCCACTCAACCACACAAACATGGGGAGCCTTGCAAAATACTATATTGCTCATCTATATTTCTTTTGTTTATAGATGGTTTGTGATAGTATGAGGATGGAATGAGAGAGAGAGTTTGGGGATGTTGAGTAACACACACTCCGGTCTTGCCATCTCTCTCTTGGCAGATGTGAGCAGCTAGGATCGGGCTCATACTAGCGAGCTATTCTTTTTTGTGGCCAGATAATTTGTTGGTTGTTCTTTATTCATAATGGCCTAATTCTTTGCTCTGTTGTAGCACATGGGCTGTCTGTTGATGAAGGCATGTTTGTGGGTGGCCACAATTGTTTTGGGCAGGAATGTTGGTTTGGAGTCATGCTCACGGTATCTTCGCGAGGAGGCTCAGAGAGTCTTTGCTGTGGGTGTCACTCCCACGAGCTGCGCTTTTGGAACACATGGAAGATGGCGGCGCTTCCATGGTGTTTTAAGCAGTAGTACTCCTGGTGTCGTGTGGAGATTCTCCGAATGCATGCTTGGAGTTCTGGCCACCGTATCTTGGCGAGGAGTCTCAGAGAGTGTTTGCTGTGGGTATCATTCCCGTGGGCTGCTCTTTTGGAGCACATGGAAGAAATGGGGACTTCCAGGGTGTTTTAAGCAGTAGCCCTCCTGGTGTCGCGTGAAGATCTTGTGGTCTTTGAGTTTATGGTACTCTATACACTCCAGAGGCTATACAGCAGATGGGGACTACTGCAATCAGACTCGCTCTCTTTCACACTTCGCAGTCACACAAACAGATGGCAAGCCACACTGGCGCTCAGCGCCCACTCAAAGCTCAGAGATATGGAAGTCGGAAACACAGTTCAGATACTTGCTCGCTTCAACAGGCTATGGCGCTTCGGCGCCTATACAACTCTCTTCCCGCCACTGTGTCCAACTCTGCTGTTCACACACACTCAACTTAGGATCGCCCTGGATATCCCACACGCGACACACTGTATTACCCACGCACACACACACTACGCTCTTCTCCCAGCTATGGCGGCTATGGCCGCTACTACTTCTATCGCTATGGCTAAGCTCTCCTCCGGCCCCCTTCGTCTTCGGGCATGCTGTAGACCACCTCGCACAAGTCGCTGTGGCAGCGCTTCCGCATGGCTTCCGCAGGAATGAATGAATGACTGGGCGCTGCCTCTTGATTTATACTTCTGTAACTCGTTGGTCTGCCCCTCTCCTCCAGGCCGATGGTGCACACAGTCCCTCATGGTACTTGCTTGACTGGACTGGGACTGACTGGACCGGTACCGCTGACTGCACTGGTTTGCATTGCCAATTCAATGCAGTCGCACTGCCGACATAATGCAGCTGGGCTCACCACTTGCCCACTTGCCTCTGACTAAAACGTGAGGGAGCTTCGAAAGGCCACTTCCGGACCTTCCGGAAGTCTGTGGACTTGGCCTTTCGAGTACTGTAGCAGCTACGACCTTGACCTTTCAGGATTCCTACAGCTACGACCTCTACAGGGCTGTGACTCCTACTCGACAGACCTACAGATCGAACCCCTACCACGACACAGACCTACGACAGACACCAACAACTATCAAAACACAGGTCACGGGTTCAAACACTCAGGGTCGACACAGATACTGTACACAGGTAAAGTGAGGACTAGGGATCGAGCCCTGGGACCTGCATCCGCTACTGCTAACAGGTGAATACCATTTCAATATCTAGCCATGGAGTGATAGAGATAGTGGTGATGTGAGTGTGTTGTTTGGGAGGAATACGAGTGTCAGTGCTGCTGTGCTTGTGGGCTGACTCGGAGGGCTCTGCACGTTTTTCCGGACTATGCTGCCTCTGATCGGTGCTTTCTTGCTGGTGGAGCCTTCTGTGTTCGGTATGTTCAATGTTGTCTTCTGCCCTCTACCTTTGTTTTTTTTTATAGATTGAAAAAAGTTCGAAAAACTATATACATTTGTGCAAGTGTGCCGCTTCGGCTGCAGACGGGTGTGTGGGCACTTCCCGCTCAACCACACAAACGTGGGGAACTTTGCACCTTCGATTATATTGCTCATCTATACTACTTTTCTTTATGGATGGTTTGTGATAGTACGAGGATGGAATGAGAGCGAGAGTTTGGGGATGTTGACTAAAACAAACACACACACACACACACACACACACACACACACACACACACACACACACACAATCAGTTTTATGTCTGTCAGTCCTTTTCTTATTGTCTGTCATCCCTCTGATTTTTTCGAAGTATTTTTCTGTGTGCCCAACTGAGCACCCTTAAGTAGTGCCAAACAGTCGGTGGTTCCTCGTTTGGAGTGCCAACTGCACTCTGAGGGTGGGCGCTTCGTTCGGGATGTCTGTGTTGCCTGTAGGTGATGATGGATGCTTGTCGCAGTGTCTCCCTGGCTCAGTGAGTGGTGGGAACCAACAGTCTGCGGGGTTCACCCGTGATGTGAGTAGGTGATGTGCTGCTTTGCTCCGTGTTGGATGTGTGGACGACCTCGTCTGCGCTCCACCACTGCCTTGCTGCTTGTTCCGCTTGCCTCGCAGTTCGTTCTTGACAAGCTGTTGTCTTCGCTGTGAGGTGTGGCCGGGTTGTGGTGTTGCCTTGCACTTTGCTGCTCCGCTGCCTTGCCACCCTTCCACTGGTCGTGCCTTCTTGCTTGCACGCCCTGTAGTTCAGTTGCCGTGTTGGTGTTGCCTTGCGCTTCAGAGCATGGTTGCTCTGCTGCTTGTCCACTTGCCCTGTCGTCCCTTGCATTGTGGTTGTCTTGGTGGTGTTGCCTGGTGCTTCACTGCTTGGTTGCCGTGCTGCAAGTTCTGCGTGCCGTGTCATTCCTTGCAGTCGTTTTTGGCGTTGTGCAGCTGTGTTGCTTCTACTGCGTTGCCTGGTGCTCCACAGGGTTGCTGCCCGCTGCTATGTTCCACTTGGCGACAGTCTGCCTTCAGCAAGGGTCAAAGGGTGCATGACCCAAACCATCAATACGGCCGTTCCGCAGATTGTCGAGGGTTCAGCCTCCTGATGAGTTGGTGCAACTCTGACGAAACAATCTCTCATCATCGATTTTTTTTTATTTTTATTTTTTCAGTCTTCAAAACTTCTATGGACTCGTACTTTTTTCTGATTTGCCTGCCTTGTGTGCTTGTTGTTGTCTGCCGACCAATATCTCTCGTGCCTTCAAGCCCTTGTTTTTTTTTTTTTTTTTTTTTTTTTTGTTGCCTGCCGTGTCTGCTGCTTGTGTGTTGTCTGCCCTCTCTCCTCCCCCATGCCCTCCAGCCTATGTGTTGTCTTGCTGTTTGTGCCCTGTGTGTTTCGTTGTTGTCCCTTCCTTGTCTTTGGACTCGACTCCACTAAGATGCGTATTCTCCTCCTGAGGTGTTGGTGTTTACTGTGCAGAGGTGTCCACAATATGTGTTCACACACATTATCACACACACACGCACGCAAGCACGCACACACACACACACACACATGTCCACACACAAACACGCACGAGCACACACACAGTGGTGCCTTCTAGGGTGTTTCAAGAGGTAGCGCTCCTGGTGTTGCATGGAGATCTTGTGGAATTTGGCATAGTTCTGGCAGTGGCCTCACTGTAGCACTAGGACATCATCTGATTCTGCAGGTTGTGCAGCAGGGGGAGGTTCATGGCACTCTTGGTGTTGCGTACAGGTCCTGCGGTGTGTTTTTGATTTGTGGTGGCGTTGTAGGTCGTCGCAGAGGGCTCTAAAAAATTTTCTTAGACCATTGGCATATGTGGTCGGTGCTTTTTGGTTAGTGGAGTGGGCCGACGTGGAGGGCTCTTCAAGTTTTTTCGGACCAATGGATGATGGGGTCGGTGCTGTCTTAGGTAAGTTGCTTCTTGCCCTCCACCCTTTTGTGGATCAAATAAATATATGTATATATATATCG